TTCAAACCCTCTCAGAAGAGGATAAAACAGCCCTTGATAGTCCTTTAACAATAAAACAGGAGGAAAGTGCTAGCAGAACCAGGCTCAGGCAGAAGCACTGATCTACAGTGACTAGTTGGGGGTGAGGGGAGGAAGACAGGACTAAAGACATGTTGTGATAGAGAGAGATTAATAATAGTTAATGATTAAATGCAGAGTGAGGGGAAAAGGTGAGTGAAGATGAAACACTCAGTGCATCATGGGAGCCCCCAGCAGCCTAAGCCTATTGCAGCAGAACCAAGGGAGGAATGTTGACAAGATCCCCAACACCACTGACTGAAATGCAGCCCCAAACCACGACAGCACCTCCACCACATCTTATAGATGGGTATAGACACTTGATGTTGTACCTCTCTGCTGACCTGAACCAAAAAGTTAAAATTAATCATGGACTGAACCTTATATAGCGCTTGTCTGCTCTCCCGGAGCAGTCACAGGCTTTATACATCATGCCACATTCACCCATTCACACAAGTGCTTTCTTCTAAGATTTTCAGTGCTTTCTAGCTAACATTCACACACATTCAGTCTCTGATGGCTGCATCGGAGATCTTGCCCAAGGATACTTGGCATGGAGACTGGGGGAGCCAGGGATCAAACCACTAACCTTCCAGTCAGTAGATGGACCTGCTCTACCTCATGAGCTACAACAACCCATAAGACCTTTTGCCACTGATTTTAAGCCAGTAATCTGATATACCTCAGCATTTTCTCCAGACCATTTCTGGTGAGGCTTTGGTGATTATTAGATTAATTAAAGGGTCAGATGCATCTCTCAGGTTCTGTTTCAGGTTTTTGCTGGATTCTTTCCCGTCTTTGTTAACATCAGAAACTGATCATCTGCTGTGGATGCCTTTTTTTTTTTTTAAAGTTTGCCACTTATTGTTTTGTCTTTGATTTGTTCAGTTTCATCAGATTTATTTTAAGAACACACTACCATGCTGAGATATGCCAAGGTTTCATCTAACAGGTCTTTGGGAATCAGGTTGTTGGTGCAAAAATGCTCTTTTTAAGTCTGTTTTATCTTTGTCATTTTTGTAGGTTCAACTAAAGCAATGGGAGGAACGATGGGCTCAAGGCTGTTGCACAGTGCTGTACTTACATTACTATTTTGCTGCTACAGTTGGCTTAATTTACCTAATAACCAGTACTGCTTTTGCTGTACACTGCAGTGTGTTGTGGCTTAAGAATAAGACACATACAATAAAATGCCATTTATACAATAAAATACAATGAAGCAATTTAGTCTGTTTAAAATATAGATTTATTCATTAATTAAAAATAGAATCATGACATTTTATCACACACTGGCATTTCTGAATTGCATTTACTCTTACAAATTTTTCATTTACATAAAATAAAATAATATGATACAAAAATAACAACAATGATTACAAATTTTCAATTGAAACAGAATTCAAATTCTTGCATTCTGTGAATGCTCCAAAAGTACACACACACACACACACACACACACACACACACACACTTTTAAAAACAACTAGAACTTTGAAAATTGACATTTTCTTTCTGTAGGCCCGCTTTTAGGTATTTCAGGTAATGCCAACCTGATGCATTA